GTAAGGCAAAAATATAACTTCAACATTAAGAATAGTTTGGCTATTGCTTAGTAAAAAAAACAATTTATTGAGTTAAGCCTTTATTAAATGTTTCTTATACCTCATTTATGCACTTTGGCCAAAGTAATTACTACAGTTAAGTGAGAACTCTGGTGTCAGTCTCCCATTTTGAAAATGTCCCATGTTTGTTGTACTTGGATCAAACTATTGAATTACAATGTTCTCTTGTCCATTGTCAGATAAAAGAAAGCAGTCATCCTGTTGGGTTATGACATTTTTCCTAGCATTGGATTATGACAGGAATTTGTCATTTGGCTTCTTGAGATTTAAAAAAAATAGAAAGAGGCTTAAACTACAATCCTATAAATATCATAAGGATATTAAATGGCAGGGCTGTTTTTACATCAGTCCTTTTGCAAAAGACAGGGAATAAATTGACCTAGCTAAGCTTTTTGTATAGGAACTATGTCAACCAGAATTCCACTAATGAGTCAAAACCAGTAAAATGGTTTCATATATATATATATGCACATATATATGCACGTGTGTGTATGTATGTGCACATATGGGGTATACCTAAATACATGAGCACACACCCATACACATATATATATGGGTATGTATATATACACACATATATACATGTGTATGGACACACATGTATGTGGTTATGTATCAGTATTTGCATGCATATATAAAGATATATGTTGCAAAGAATTAGCTTATCCAGTTGTGGAATTAGCAAGGCAGGTCTTAAATGCACAAAGCAGGGCAGGCTGAAAATCATGGGTACAGCCTGATACTGAGTCCACAGATGGAATCTGTGCTTCCTCAGGGAAGCCTTATATCTGCTCCAAAAAGATTTTCAGCAGCTAGCGTGAGGCTTACCCAGTCTACCTAGAATGCTCTCTGTTCTTTACTAGTGTGCTACTGATTATAGATCTTACACCTACTACTTGCCTCTCACCTGAATCACTGTTGGACTGATTAACTGGAGGCTTCACCCAGGCAAATTGTTACTTGAATCAAACATCACAGAGATTTGTATAGTTTGTGTGTTTGATTGCTTTCTAATAAAATCTAACAAGACTATAGAGTTTAGAGAACCAATGGAATAGCAAGTATACATTATTTTTATAATTGCAAAAGACACTTTAATTCTTAAAAGAAACAATGAAGGCATAAGAATTGTTTGCAAGCTCGAGACCAGCCTGGGCTACAAAGTAAGCCCAAGCCCAACCTGAATTGGATAGTGAGACCCTTGTGTCAAAAAGACGAAAAAAGAAAAAAGAAAGAAAGAAAGAAGATGGATAGTATTTATCACTCTTCCTTAAGGGAAGATAATCTAGGAGAGGTTCACTATAGAAATGGATAGTGATTCCTCCCTTCAGCTCAAGCTCCTTAAGGCTTGGAGAAATTGGATGTATCTTAAAGGAGCCTCAGCAAATGGGGAGCTCTGGTTAAAAATGACAAATCCCTGGGTAAATCACAGCCTTCCACATGGTTGCTCAAAGAAAGATGATATGCCCCAGGTCCATAGTGAGCCTGAAATTTCTGGAGCTGGGTGTCTTCCCTTAACAAGCTCTTCCTCTGTAAGTAGCTGTACCACAGAAAACATTTGCAAACTGACCTAAAACATCATCTCAAGCAGGAGTTGATATCTGCCTAAGCTGGACATCCTCTAATCTTTGTGTTCACATGCCCTTAGCAATTGGGTAAATTTTTCATAGCCCTGTAGCCAAAAGAAATACCTATCAGTTCTGGTTTTTAACAATTTAGGTCCAAATAGCAAAATAAGGCAGTCAATATCTTAACAATTTAATAGTCATCCGTATTAGCCATTTTCTAATTGCTGGAGTGAAATGCCCAACACTCACAATTTAAGAAGAAGGATTATTTGGCTCACTGCAATGGATGCAATCCAGAGTCACCTGGCTCCAAGGCAGAAACAGCAAGATCGAAGGCCCTGATGGAGGCAGCCAAAAAGTAGAGAGAGAAAAGAAGACCCAAGAACAGCAGCATATTCTTCTAGTTCATGCCTCCAGTGCCCCCCTCCAACCAGGTCCTAACCGCCTCCTAAACAGACACTCAACTACTAAACTCATCAGTGGATGAATCTACTGATCCAATCACTTGATCCATGATCCAATCACTTTCCAAACTCGTGAGACTTTTGAAGAAATATTTTAAATATAAACTATAACATCATCTGAAAAACTAGTTCACATAAACTGGGAAAAAATTTTATTTTATATTTAAATAATTAAGTCCCTGATCCATATAAATAGGTACATTTGGTTTGCGGTGGTGTTTATTTCTTTGGTGTTTTTTTTTTTTTTTTTGGTCATAATACGTAAAAATCCAGCTTTGTAGTGGTACAGTATCACTGAAAGGAAGATGATACAGTCTCCATTAGCCCTGGGGACAAATGAGTTGGTGATTGACAGTGTCAAACAGATGCTGAGTGTTACTGTGTTTTTCTCAAATTTTTAAAACGTTACAGTACACCCTTGTGAATTTGTTGGTACATAGTTTGGGGACTGAAGCCGTAAGCATTTATATACACACTCTGAGCTCTAAATAATGTGATTTTAAAATCCCAAGATACTTTCGAGATCAAATCAACCCTTCTAGATATTTCCTCATTTTAATTGAGACAGGTTCAAGTTATTTAACTAACTAAGAAGAACACATTATGATGTATCTAAGTTTAAATTAAATACTCTAGGAATAGAAGCAAATTAGTAACTACATTATTGTTAAATTATTATAGGTATATTCTTACAGCTTTTACTTCCCCTGCCATACTGAGTTGGAGAGGTTTTAATTTTTATATGCTCTTTGTTTTCTGTTATTTCTTCTTAGTCTGTTCTTTGCCGTACCGGTGAGAAAGAATTTAATGTCCTTGTGTCAAGAAAGGCCTACTTATTCTGACAAACTGATTAACCTCCAGGGTGTTCCTCCACCGTGAAACTGATTTTATATCTCATCCACTGGTTAATAAGATGTGAAGTGCTTTTCCTGTCACGCTCACAGATCAGACCTGCTTCCCTCGAAAGCAGTGTGTGAGATTACATTACATGTTCTCCGTGACTGAACCCTACGATCCGTAGTATTCCAACAGAGTGTGTCAGAAAAGAGTGAGAGGATTGAGGGAAACCCAGAAATTGGCAGAGTGGATAGAAATATGTCACAGTGGTAGAATTCTTACCTCAAATGCACCAGGTTCAGTCTCCAGCACTACACACACACACACACACACACACACACACACACACACAAGCAGATACATTTAAAAAAGAAAAAACCTCCAGAGAGGAAAGGCTAGGATCCCATTCCCTGTTCATTATTTTTTCATTGTCAGTTCAGTGACAATAAAATGCCCAGGACTAAAACCTGGGGTTGCTGGTGATCTGTGTAAAGACATCCTGACACACATTGTCTTTCTTTACCCTGAACCTTTGGATAAAATTGAAATCCCACAATGTTTGACTTCATTTTCTCTGCTGTAAAAAGAATTTAACACCAGTTGAGCATTCCTAACTCCAAATCAAGAATGCTTCAAAAACTGCAACTTCTAAAGCACCAGCATGATGCTACAAATGGGAACGTGCACATTGGACCTCAAATGATAAATCACAGTAAAAACACAGGAGCACTAAATAGTGCATAAAATTACCTGCAGGTTATTTGAATGAAACAAATGAATCTCACGTTTAGAATTAGATCAAATTCCCAAGATTTCTTATTGCATGTACGGAAAAATCCCAAAAGCTGGGGAAAAAAAATCACCAAAATTTGTAACGCATCTCATCCCAAACATTTCAGAAAAGTGATACTCAATTTGTACCCTGAAAGGGACGCTTCAAGATCAATTATGACGTGTTTCTATAGAAGCAATCACTGCATTATAAAATGCTTTAGTTTTTATTTCTTATATTTTGATACTACAATAATTTTCAGATTATTTTCCAGATCAGGAGTTGGATGTAGGGAAGGACAAAATTCTGTTCAGATGGTGAAGGCAACATAAAAGGAAACATGTTGGGTAGGCGGTTCTTTGTGAGCCCAAGAGGAACAATGATGTCTTTTGGAGTAAAGTTAATGGTAGATACATCTTGTTTATATTGTTTTCCCTTTTCAATACAAAGTGCTTTTATCTTAACAAAAACCAAGCTAAATACTTGTCTGATGCTAGAGAACCCTCAGGCCTCTAGAAATCTCTTGAGCATTACAGACATTGAGTGGCTTTCCCATACAGTCTCGGAAGTCAGTCAACCCTTGGTGGCTTGGTTCCGTGGCATGTGAATGTTGAAAGAAGCACTGTCACCTGAGATCAGCAGGCTAACGTAGTGTAAGGCCTCCCTCCTTGGCTTCTATATGATCACCTCTTCCTTGTGTACTCCCTGGTGCCCCCACTCAGTGTGTGTCTGTACCCCCATCTCCTAAGGACATTTAAGAGTCATATAGGATGAAGGCCCTAGCCTCACCACTTTAAGGCCCTAATCTTAAAATCTGTCACATTCTAAAGTACTGGGGGCTGAGATATTAACATATGAAGTAGGGAGTAAAAGAACAGCTCAATCTTTAATAGCTTATTTCTTCTTTTCGTAACAGGCTTTCAATACAAATAATAGGTCACATTCATAGAAATCTTTTACGTATACAAATGAATATTAAGGGTGTACTCTGGAAGGAAGTTGTTTTCCTCCCAGCTCATACCCTTGGCACCTTGCTGCAGGTATTCCTGTCTGTTATTGTCTCTTCCGCTGGGCTGGAAACATTTGGAGCTAAGGAACTGTGACTCTGTGCAACCCCACTACGGTGCTCAGAACATGCTGTAATAGTGAAAATAGCATCTAAATATAATTTTTTTTTCTTTTTGCAAAAAGTATTTTGACATAGAAAGCACCATAACTCAGAGAATGAATATAATGAGTTTAAAAGGGAAAATGTGTTGTGACTGAATGTGTTCCTGATGCGCGGGTGTTCTTTTGCAGTTTGTCTTTTGCCGGGATTGCAAGGAAGCGTATCATGAAGGAGAATGCAGCGCCCTCTGTGAAGCCTCAGGACCTGGTATTCAGGTACAGAATGGTCTCCTTATCCTTTCAGGCAGGGTTCAGGACACTGGGAGGGCAGAACCTGCTGCCTGGAGATGTGACTCTTAAATCCCAAACCACAGAGTGATAGGTCACAGCCCTGGGAAACACAGGGCTCTGGCTTCCAGAACCACCCCCTCCTCAGATTACAATGTAGATGTCATAGCCATTTGGGATGTGTTTGTGATTCCAGGTCAGTGTGGAGTAGGGCTAAGGTTAACATTATCAGAGCTGTCTTTAGACGGGAGATAAAGCAATTTAACAATCTCCAAATCAGAGAAATCAATTCTGACCCTACTTCTATTTTTTTAAATGCCTTTGCATAGACTCTTCAGTGAAAATTATCTCTGTGAATAACTTACAGATATTCTTCACTTTATCATAGGGTTACATCCCACTAAACTCATCATAAATTGAAAGTATTACTAGGTCAAAGGTATATTGAATACTCCTAACTTACTTACCATCACAGCTCAGTGACACAGCACACTGCAGTCCTGGTGTTTGTGGAGCTGACTGGGAGTTGTGACTCTCTAAGTGTCACCAGTGAGGTGACTGATACTACATATCTATAGCTAAGAGGAGGCTTGATATTCAAAATGCCAAGTACACTCCTATTGACTGTGTATTGCTTTTATAACATTGTAAAGTTGAAAACTCAAAAGCTAAACCATTGTGACTCAGGAACTATCTCTACAGAAGTATTACAAGTACAAAGAGATCATTTTTTTCAGCAGTAACATGAACTCTGCTAAACTGTATTTCTATCTTGATTAAGTAATGATCATGTTTCCTGAAACTTACTTTTATATGCTACATCAAACTTAAGAAAATGCAAATGTGTTTTCTTTTATTTATTAATTATGATCAACCAAACTTTAGGGAAAGAAGTAGAAACTTCAGCACATTTGATAAATTTGCTCATTCTTTTTCTCTTGATGTGGATTGTAACAGAGTTTAAAAACCAAATCTTTGCAGATATATCTTCTAGTCATTTCTTTAATAGGAAGCTAGTAAGTAGATATAGAAATTCCAGGACATTTCGATTTTGTAATAAAGAATGTTAAAGATCTGAATGATCTAAAATGAGAGCATAAAAATGTCTGTTTCTGCAGCTGTGTTTATCAAATATAACCATAAGTAAATAAATATAAATAGTGAATTCAGGTCTTCTCATCAGCTCCTAAATTATTAGTCATGAGCATATTAGGAAGTTTAAGGATGAGTTGCCATTTTCATAGCAGAAGAAAATTCTCCTTCTGTTGATTTATTTTAGCTCAGGGTGATTGAAATTCAGGCTCACTTGGTACTGACAGGTGGAATAATTATGGCCCTGGGACTGCCCTGACCCAAGTTCACTGTATCCCAGGAGAGGAGTGCCTAAGGCTTTGAAAAATGGGATTGACCTACCAGTTTACATCCATGTGCTCTTAGGACCGCAGATGACAAAAGTTTCTGAGAAGTGATACCTTAATGTCTATTTGAAAACAATACAGAAAGAGGAGGAAGAGAATTGCTTCACCTTGAGCCAAGGAGAGGCCTGACCCAGAATTCCATACGCTCTTTATCCAAAGGAGCCAACCAATCTTAATATTAAAGGGTGTTTTTTATCTTAAAAATCATTAGATCCTCAGCATTCAACTCAGAACAATGGGGGAAAGAAAGTTAAAGTGGAACTTGAACATAGATGCTAATATCAAGGGAACTGTGTCTATAATAATGTCAGTCATCACAATAAACCCAGCGTTTGTATGGGCTACATAGCCTGCTAGGTTCTGGCAAAATATAGATATTTCCCTTCAGAGGCTTGAAGGGAGCCACACAGGGATACTGGCAAGAAAGTGAGTACACCAGAAATACACCAAATCAAAGTTTAACAAATATGTAGCTGTGTATTACATGCACTTTGCTGCAATTCATAGAAGATAACTTATCAAGAGTAAACAACATAGAGGTGATAAAGACAGTTCCAAAGAGAATTCTGCGTGGACAGAAGAACAGGTAAGACTCTGTTCTATTCAATGCTGTATCCCCAACCCAAGACAGAACCAGGTACAAAGATATTTAAATAGATGTTTATTTAATGATAGAAACATCTATAATGAAAAAGATATTATTTCATTTAACAAATATGTATTAATCAATTACATTAATCATTGCTGTAGGTCCTAGAAATAAATAGCAAGATAAAGATTTTAATTTTCTAGTGTTTCTATTACTTCTTTAACTATTGTAAGGATGCACAAACAGTTGACATAGAAATTCCACAGAGGTATCGTTAACTCACAAGCTCAGGATAACCTACAGAGAACATAGCATGAGGTAGATCTGTCTAGAGACCTTGTTTAGATTAAGCTCCTCTTGCTTCCTGCTCCTGATCACATTCTTCTTACCTGGAAACAAACAAAATCAATGAACGAAACAGCCAATCAAAAAACAAACAAAACAATTTTGCTTGTCAACTGTTCCTGGAGAGTAGAACTTGGATTCTTTGCTGCCATTCTTCCTGGATGTCTGATTCAGTCAGGGCCCCACAGGAAAGTGAATTCAAGTTGAATACATTTGTGAAGAGCTATTAATGGAAGGCACCAACTGCAGCCAGGGGTAGGTTCACAGATGGAGCCTTGGAGCCTACAATCTGTGGGAACCAGGATCATCCTCTCCAGGAGGGACAGGAGGAGGATAAGGTGCTTCATGGACTCTATGAGCTGGACCTACAGAGAAAGGACCTTATGACAGGAAGAATAATCACGAATGGGTCCAAAGCAGGACAGGAACACTGGCAGACTTCATGGCTTCTCTCCCCAACCTTCTGAGTTCTTCTTGGTGGTGCCTGCTAGTGGTCCACTGGAAGCCAACCACAGGAAGCCTAGGAACACAGACCCTTGAAGTCAGCCCTTTGGGTCAGGACAGAGGATGGAAGAGAATATAAATTAACCAACAGATTCCCTGGGCCAATTTCCCAGGGTTCCAAAGGTTTCTTCATTTGAACCACAGTGACTTTTGGCTGTGGAAAGAGGTGAACCAATTAACCAAACTGTAATACCCAGTTCCATTTGGTAACAGAGGGTGGGTTTTATTTTAAAAGAGCTGCTTAATTTTCTAAATTCCCTTCATTTCTGTCAGACAGTAGTAGTCTCAGGAAAGACGACCCCCCTGCACTTCCACTGACTTCAAATCTTTAAAAATAAATCAGTCTGCACATCTAACAATTGAAACTAATTGCAGTCCCCTTACAATGTAAGGCTTCAGATGCATCTGCATCTAAGATTTGCTAACACTAACAAAATACTCTCATTAGCCCTCTTCACATCTTCTTTCCAATTCAATCCACTTGCAGCCTTTTTCTTTTTAGCCACTTGTGACTCCTTTCCACTACTCTTCCCTTTAGCACTGATTGGTTTCTGTTCTTTGATATTACATTCTCCAGCCAGGCGAGCCCATTTATCCTGGGGCCCAATCAGCTTTTCCTATTGGTCAGGCAGCTTGACCCAAAACTTAATGCGTTTTTTGATTAATGCAATATTTTTTTTAAAAAAAGCAAACTCAAAAATTGGTTTTAAATTGGTTTTAAAATATTGAACAAGCTTTAAGCTGAAACTGCTGAGCATTTGGGAAATCAGCGACAGAAGATCAATCCATCACAGGCTAATGAGAGTCCGGGCCGATTTGCTTCCTGGCATTCTTGGCTGCTGTGTTCTGGTTCCCTCTGTGTATTTCCCCCAAACAGTGCCTGTTAACTCCCCCACTTGCTCTTGCAAACTACATAGATTGATTCATTCTCCCAGTGGCCCTGAGTAGTTACTGTTAGTCTCCCTATTTAATGGAAGAGTAAACTGAGACTTCAATTTATAATGACATTAAGCCACAGAGGAAATTGTGGCTATACCTGACCAAAGCAGTTTGGAATCAGTGATTGCTCTCTCGTGTTAATAAATTGACAGTATCTAAGAAGAATGTATCCATCTCTCCCATCAAGCTCCTACGCAACCTTCAGGGCCCAGATCATATATCTCTTCCTCCATCTGTCCACCCCACAACCTTCTCCGAACCCTAGGACAATTGCACATGCTTCTATTGCATATTCAGCACACTGAAATATCATTTTCCTCTCTCTTTGCTAAAAGGCTAGGTTTGTTAGTGCAAGGCTTGTGCCTGTGGCATCTGTATCCTCTAGTACCTCTAGTACCTGGCACACGGTTGGCATTCATTAGTTTGTTGAATGAATGACTACTTCGTTCTTCATCCCCATACCTCCCACGCCCTAGAAAGCTGAGAGAGCACTCCAGAATTTCTGGATTGACTTTTGACTCAATAATCTCTTGTATCATTAGAAAAAAAAAAAAGATCCAGTGTAAACCACCATTCCCTCCATCAACCTTCCAGATTAAAAGAATGAAGCCAGCATCTTGCCTGATAAAAATAATAATACCACTTATGATGTGCATGTTCACAAAGTATTTTCAAATAGCTTTTCTTATTTTCTGCTTCATAGCAACTTTTTGTGGCAGACTGTGCTTTTAGGAAAGGTCTAGGGAGGGAAGGAGGCCTTGCCAGGAGCAGAAAGCTGACACCAGGTCAACGAGCGCGGCACCTGCCAGGGCTGCTGACTTCCTCAGTTTCAGCCAGGCAGCAGCTTTGCTCTTTGGGCTCACTCTGTATTTTGAGGAAAGCAAGCAGGCTGTTGTTGGCTTCTAACATATTCCACATGGAAGGCAGACACAGACGCTAGCAGGAACCAAACCCTAATCTATGAAACACTCTTGTTTCAGCCAGGGACCTCCCAATATTTTGTTACAAAGAGCTACTTCACTTTCCTTCTACCTTTCCTATTAAAACAAATAGAATAATTATAAAAACACATCAAGACAGTAAGCTGCGGGCTCTAATTATATACCACACTGAAATAGAGTCCATGGCAAACCACACAGTATGTAGCTTGGCAAAGGAGCAGCTGCTACCTGGCCACACAGCTCCAATCAGTG